TTAGAAATTTATTTAGGATTAGTTAACCATAAAGCACCAGAACGCTAAGTTTCTGAAATCTTTAGAACAAATATAACAAAAAAGAAACTAAGAAAGACCGAAAATGTATCACTATCCTCTGTGGCAGATACAAGTAATATTTCCACCAAAAATAACGCGGAGAAAATAAAATTTTCGAGTAAAAATTAAACGCTCTCCTCGAGCAGACACACATGACGGAATTCATAAAGGTCCACTTATCAACGCAAAAGGTTGACAAATGCATAATATGACATTCTTCTATAAAAGCAATATAGAAATATACGTCGAGTGGCGCTGTATTGGCAATGCGTATTCCAATATGTTGTGCTGCACTTTCAGATAGTCTAGAAGCAGGTACTGAAATGGACAGTGGGTAATATTGAAGCAATGCCTGACGGGTAATATTTGAATAGAGCGGACGATTAGTAGTTGAAAACAGCGATTAGGAACAAAAACTCTAAATTTAAAAAAATGAATCCTTTCCTTTTCCCTACCACTTTTTGTGTCTTAATCACAATAGTCACCAACAATAAAATCGATTGTACACAAAGTTTTGAAGTTATCCTTGCATAGTTCAAAGAATCGCAGTACCAATCCTAACCATTCACTTGAAGTTAAAATTTGTCTTTTGATGTTCAATCCACTGTTGCTTTTAATTAAAACACAACCGGGCCTCTTCTATTTACAATTACATTTCGTTTGTCATATCAGCGACGAGCAAAAAGGTATTTCGCATCCTTTTGGTTAACACCATTAATAAGCAAAGTGTGCTGTTGATCCTCAGTTCATTCGAATTGCCAACGGATGAATTCACCTAATTTAAATAACAACAGTAATGCTGAATGGAGAAACATAACCATTAGCAAAATTCAGATTGGAAGTTAATCCACTAGCAGATGTTCATTAACATCTGCTAGCGGATTAACTTGCCGCCTTCTGCTCTACATGGTAGTGGTGCTTCATTTTCTGGTGGATTCTCGAAATGATAAGTAGCGACTTTGCTTTGCCTCGAAATGATTAGTAGCGACTTCGCTTTGCCTCAAAATGATTAGTAGCGACTTTGCTTTGCCATGTACATTTCGAAAGATAGTGCTCATCAAAGAACAACACAGAACAGTTGAGCGAAAAACTGACACTGAAAGGTATTGTTCTTCGTAATATTTGGAATTTCAATTTAAAAAACTCAGAAAGAAATAACCAGTAATGAATCACTCACATCCAGAAGAAACTTACTATTGCCCATCAATATGGCCATTAGACATGCCGTCGCCCATTTGATCACTTGGTCGTTTTTTACCGCCCTTTTGTCACCAATCACCATCGTCTCGAACGCAGCACTAATTTATGGACTGTACAAAATGGAGCAGCTAAACACGATCACAAACAAATTCATTCTCGTGATGAATATTTCAGATCTTGGCATTGGAATATTCATCATGCCATCCATAGCTGCAATGGCAGCTTTAAAGGACAAGTACCGAAACTGTGTGTTTGAACTGGTTCTTCATTATGGCGCCTTTCTTCTCGCTTATTTCTCCTTTTTCATGTTGATGTGCGTATCTATGGATCGTTATCTTCACGTGATGAAACTCAAAAAGTACAATGCGTTCATGAACGAGTTTCGTATGAAGGTGATCGTTGTGTTTAGCTTCGCAACATCAGCAATAGCGGCCTACCTATCTATCGCGATCCCTTCCTTCCCGCTTCAAATTGCCTCGAATTTATTCAATCTTATTTGCATTCTATTTGTGTTCATCCTGTATTCGATAGTGCTTCGCAGAATTGCCACTAATGCTGAGCGAATGAAGAGAATGCTTAGAGATGCCGGAGAAGATTCGGGTAGTCGAGGAACAAGGGGAGAGTTCTCGGCAACGAAAACGATTCGTTTTGTCCTGGGTGCTTTGTTAGTTCTGTTTTTACCATACAACATTTGCTCCGCGATCTGGTCGTATTACAAATTCCAGGAGAAAAGGAATCCCCCGTTAACTATAAACGTACTAGAATATTGATCTTATATTATTATCTTATGTAATGCTTCAATAAACGCTATTCTATTCGCATATGGTAACAGCGTTGTGAGAAGATTTACAATTGGACGCTTTACCAGGAGTCAAGTTGCTCCAACGAGCGCAGTAAGCAACGTCACAAAGGCTTCTAAAATTGCAAGCAAGTTCTAGCTGAAGGCATATAAGGAGGTCAGTGGTTTAAGGCTGGTGTCTTGCCCATGCACTGTCAATAAAATTTGTGAGAGCAATGTTCAAAATGGATAAATTTGAATTGCCCCCAAAAGCAGCAATGAGACCGTTACCTGGGGCCCGGTTTAAATTAGGTCTTCTTTGCTGAAAAAAAGTTGCTGAACTACTGCCCTCCTCTTTAAAACCGTGGTGAACTACTGGCATCTGACAACAGAGGATTATGAAAAGAACAAGAGAAAAAGGAATCTTTATTCCAGTCAATAGAATGGTGATCTTTGCCTCTCAATTGATTTCTCATACGTCAAGGAAAATTGTCTCGTTGCAATCAGCTTCAATCTACAAATCTTTACAAGTAACTTTAGCAACTTGACTCACCTTTCATCGATTGTAACCTAAGTAATATTTAACGTAGCGTCATAAAATAATTAGGGTGAACTTATAGATAATCTAAATGTTGATAATCATTTTAAGCTTTCTTCAATAATTGATCAATTTTCAATTTTTCAGCTTTAAGATAATATTTTCCCAGCTGTTTTCCCATGTTATTGACATGTAATGTTGACATTATTCAGCGTATAAAAGCACGGCCGGTGATTACAAACATTGAACGTCAGTCCGACTAACTCTTAATAAAAACACGACAACGTCACTCTAAAAGCACAAAATCTGAAACTTTTCTACCTAACTCGTGGCCTTTTCCGTATTTAACCACTATCTTTATTCCGCACTCATTTTGAAATAGTTTTATCATTTTCCTTTGTTTTTTTTTGTAAAAATATCTATTTTTTGGTGGAAATATATGCACTGTGGTGAAAATTTAGTTTTGTAGAAATTTCAGTTGTCCAATAACGCTGGTGGATGGGTTATGAAAAGACAAAATATATTGTTTCTTGGTAACATTTATTCTTATTTAGGTATTTAGTTAACTATATGGGTAGATATGCAATTAATGTCCTAATATTATCATTGAGACAGAAACGTCAATTTATTGCATTTTTTGTCAATTTATCACTTTTATAGTGTTGTGCTAGAAAATATCGTCTATGGTACATATCTCTAAAGATTAGTAAAGACTTTGAGTTTCATGCTTTATGCAATGCTCGTGCAACAGTTCTAGGCAATGGTGTACAGATAAACTCATTTTTTATAAAAAAAACTGGCTATAACAAACAAGTACTGGACAGTCAGAAAAGAATAAAAAACCTCAGTACTCGAAGCAAAGAAATTATGAGGCTCTTAAATCGAGATATATAACATAAATCTTAAAACTGAGAACAACAACATTTTGTAAAATCCAAAAGTATCATTGCCAAGTTAGCCTCAAACTTAAGACACAAGTCATAAAAATATACTTCCCACATATGAATACAGCATCAGAATCGAAGCGAATCCATTGACGGGAAGATAATCTAGATTTGTTGTTAGGCAACTCTGAAGATTCTCTTGATGCAAAAAGAGACGAATATTGTTTCCGCACTGGGTTGGAAATGCGACAGAAAAGTTTTCTGCTAGAGATTGTGACAAAAGTAGGTACAGATGCTTCGAGAAAACCGTATGTTTCATAACTGTTGATGGATCAGCTGACGATAAAATAAATCCACAAGGTCTTTAAAATTATTTTGTTTACACCTCCTCTGCCAATGGCCGGACCAGCAGAGGTACCAGCGTCAAAGGACTTGAACAATGGGACACAAAACGTGTAACTTGACAACGAGACAGAAAAGGTCGATTGTGCTAAGCAGCACATTCACCCATGCTGTTAAACATGAGCAAAACATTCCTTTACAATTGCTCAACGTGAGCAACAAATTTGCTCATACTTAAAAATGGCTTTCAAAAAAGCAAACATTTGAGTATACTGAAGCTTTTTGTCTGACACTCTTCAAAGTATAAAACGTCAGCACATAAATCGAAAACTCTACGCTAGGAAATATATATACTTAGTTGTGGATCGAAATAGGCCAATCAGAAACGCAAGCACGTGACTGTTAAGGCTGCCCAATCAGTTTCGCCTGCCTATTGAGAATGTCAACACTGGAGTCCCAATGTGAAAACGAACTCCTTATGTCAACACAATAGCGGTTTTATCGTGCTACATTGGAATACCTTGCTTGGAAAACTAATCTAGCATCTTTGTTTAATTAAGAGCTTAAGTCGTCATTTACCTGGCTTAAATCTACAACTAATACCATAAATGATTCATCACCAACCCTTGATAAGAGACAAGTAGAAAGCGGAAAATGGCTAACGACTTTATCTGGTTGCAACAAGGCAACGAGTGAATAGCACAGAACGGACAATCATTGCCGACAAAACCAACCCTAGAATCTATCAAAGATGCTATAACTTTGTTTAGGTTGAAAAAATTTGAATTTCCAAGCATGAACAACACCAATAAACAAAAGTTGTTTACATTGCTGCTGTTTACATTTTAGCGAGAAACAATTGAAAGAATAACGGCTACTAAAGGGCAAAAAACACGGTCCGAGTCATGAAAACTCAAGGAATTAAACCTTCTCTATCGGTGTTGGCGATATAAAAACAGTTTTGCTAACGAGGCCTTAAATAATTTCCACCCAAGAAATTTTGATGGTGAAAAGATTGTAAAACTAAAGGAAGAATTAGCTTCAAGTGCATCATGAGCGAGGAAGTCTACTGAGAAAGCTAGAGCACGAGGTGACAACAAATTTTCTACGAGCGAGCCTTCAACGCTACCAATTCGTACCAGTACCAGGTGAAATTGCCAGAACCCCAAACATTATCTAAAATAGCACAAAAACATACCTGCTTAATCAGTAGAGGAACACCATTAGACTCATCTAATTGCTAGCTCTCATTGAGATGTGACGTATAGAATAAAACAGCCTATTTGTATTGTGGCTTCACCGAGCAAAACGAGGAACTCGCTATGCCAAAACATTGATTCCCCCTAGATTAACCAAGGGAATGAAGTGCCACGAAACACACATCTTACCCTGGTTATACAAATCAAATTCACAGGAGGCCGAAAGACATTGGCGAAAGACATTGTCCATAAACTAGTAGAGCAGATAAAAGAAAACGCGAGGAAGCGTGGCACAAGATACCATAAGGACTAAGAAATATAAGCAATCTCAGGCGAATTAGTTTAAGCTGAAAAGCCTCTCGTGAAATCAACTCTGGTCATATTTCATTTACTCATCTTCTAAAATGGCAGAGGATGACTCTCTTTCAGGACGAGGATTTCAAGTTAGAATAAGCTAATCACGGGGGGGACTGTCGTTAAGAACAAGAGCTTTTCATTAGAAAAAAGCGATTGAATCCCTTCTTCCTTTTTCCTACTACTTTTTGTGTTTTTGTCTTCTATTGGCTTGAGAATCTAAATTAGTCTTCAAAAAAAGTCGATTGTCTGGTAAGTCTAAACGTCTATCTTGCATAGTTCATTTATTCGCGGAACCTTTATCAATCAATAATCCTGAAGCTAAAGTTTGCTTATTCATGTTCAGTCAAAACATTTTTGAATAAAAACTGAATCAATCCATCTACCCTTGTTCTATCTTTACAATGAAATTTGGTTTTCTTTTAAAAGCAATACGAACATGGCATTTCGCTTCCTTTTATTGGCACATTTTATCAGGTAAGTACACTGTTAAATCAAAACTACCTTCTCATTGAAAAAGGACCAGTTCTAATTTATATAACATTAACATTAATATTATATTAAAACAAAAAAGCATCGTCGATTTTCCGATTTCATGTTATTCAACTGGAATGTGTTCATGGCCAACATTTACTTTACATGGTAATGACATTTGTTTTCTCCTTGTAATATTTATAGCAGAAATGCTCTACCTGGTTCATTTCGAAAGACAGCGGTTATTGCAGAGCAACACAACACAGCTGAGTGAAAAGACTGGCACAACACATTTAACTCTACAGAACGCAGGACTTAAGGGATATACGCAATGATGAACAACTCCTCAACAGAAGAAAATTAATATTGCTCGTCATGATAGCCACTAGACATGCCATGGCCTCATCTTTTTATTCGATATAAAAAGTTACAAACAAAATTACCTTAAACTATACAGAGCGGAAACAACTTTATTAAGTTAGAAAAACGGCCAGGAGGGGCAATATATCATGACTACCTCCTAGCACTAGACATATACCTAAATCACAATATCAAAAAAGATTTTATAATTAAAGAAACCACTAAGGAAATAAATTGAAATAAATCGCGAGAATATTTAAAGATGTTTGTTCCTGCATTATTCAAACCGTTTGGAGGCATGGATATACTTCAATGTTGCCGTGAGGATTTTTGCATTTAGATCAAATGGTAATTGTTTATGGCCATAAAGGATGACTTTTAGTAACTCTTTATGTCTCTTTATTACTTGAAAGATTTAACAAACAATGAGGCAAAAATATTGCATGGACACTGTTGAAAAGTTCACGTCTATTTACATCACAAGTATGGCAGGGCAGAAAGTAGTGCTCCGTGTCCTCAACACCATCATTTGTTTGGCATAAAGGAATCAAAGTATCCCTGAAATTATGTTGGAATTTATGAAAATTTAGCTTACTAAGTCCAACCCGAAGCTGTGTTAGGGTGGGTAAGCCTTTTGGGCCATAAATACGATAGTTGCTTTGGGGGTGGTCATAAAAACGGCTTCGGGGTTGGGTGGATAATTGACAGTTATTTTTTATGAAAATATTCACAGAGCTGGATAGTCTGATTTCAGGGTCGAGCCTTTCTCCTGCCAATAAGCAGTTTGCTTAAATATTCCGTGATGCCGGTTAATACGAATCATTGGCCAGCAGCAATATCATCGTTCCGTTTATCCATTAAAGTCAGACCCTTACCGAATTTTCTGTCTATCTGAAAATTACTCATGCTTCTGTCAGTCTTTAAGTTGTACATATTTCGCTACACTGTGGTTTTGATCTCCATTCTCGTCTTGCCACTCACTATGGTTGTCCAGATCATAGCACATTTTTAGTTACATCCAAAAACTCACTTTCTTCACGTATTTGCTGGGCTGTACTCGTCTGTCAAGGCTATATTCCACGTACTACTCGAGCTAATCAAACGCTTGCCAAGTTTGTTTCTTGAACTTTGTAAACGAATGATTTTGAGATCACTTCATTCGTGCCTCAGAGTGACTTCGATAAGTTGTTGTTAAAAACCTCTTCACTTGTGTTTTACGTGTTTTTTGCTACTTTATGTAATTGTTATTTGTATTGTGTAATCTTTAATATTTAGATATATAAATTAGTGTTGAGTTGTTATTTTAAATGTTATGGTCACAGGGTTGCTATATATTTCCATGCTCCCTGCGGCATCGTCTTGTAACCTTCGTATGTCCTTGTAACTTTTATTCGGATGAAAAAAAACAAGCAGTTTGGGTAGAAGCTTGATTTGAAACCTAGCGTTCTTGCACGTATTTGCCCAATTGTAGCGCGTCTGCGAAGATCATAGCTGGCCTCTTGTAGATGAGAAATGTGGCATCTTGTGTAATCTGAAGTCCGATCGTTTACTATTTTCAAAAAAGGATGAGGCGTCTGCTCCATCGTTGAAAGCTCAGTGATTCCCAACCAAGTTCGTCATACAACTTCTCACGGGACGCACCCTTCCAGGCCCCCGTTATTGCTAGTGCAGCGGAGAATTGGACAGCTTCAAGATTTTCCATTAGATTACGTAATACAACATCGTGGCTAAATTCGCAAATATCATGTGGGATGTAACATATGACGTCGCCATAATCTAGAAACGGTCGAACATACAATTTGTACATTTCGTTGAGGGTATGTTGTGGTAGATATTAGGAAAGAAACCTCCAAATTCCAATTCCGTGCCTGGCTTTTGAGATGGCAGCTCTGATGTGACTAGAAAAGGACAATTTTGAGTCAAATATGATCCCAAGGTGCTTTTGCTTTGCATGTCTGGCCTCATTTGATCATTGTGTCCTTTTCTACCGCCCTTTTGTCACCATTCATCGTTACCTCGAACGCAGCAGCAATCAGTGTCGCTTGCCTATTGAAATGACACCAATCGAGTCCTAGTTTGTTTCAAAATGTATACTTTCTTCAAAACCATTTTTAAACTTTCTACCACCAAAAGATTGTTAACTTGTTGTCGATATTTTTGTTTTGAAAGTATTTGTCATTTGTTTGGGACCATTCGTTGTTGTTTTGGGTTGTTCTAAAATATTGTGTGCTATATACTTGTTTAATTGGCCATGGTAATAATTTATAGAATGATTTAAAGATTTATGGAAGATTTTAATGATGACAATGATTGTGGTGCCGTTGTTATTTGTCCGTTGTCTTCAAAAATGACTAAAAACATTATCAAAGAAAGTGGATTGTCACCAAAGGTAGCAGCAGATCAAGCCAATAGGGGTATGAAGCGTTCTCCCACTTATCGCAGACGAACATTCTGATGCGATAATAGGCAAGAAAGCGACTTCATGTTTACGCGACGCCTTATTAACGTCATATGAAGTTAATTTTAAAGGAGAAATGAAGATAAGAAAAAAAATTGTTCAACATCAAGGAGCTATCTAAATCAATTTAAAAATGCCAAATATTTTGTGGAAGAAAGGAGGAAAATAGGGATGTAGATAGTTGAGATTAACATATTTCTCCAGTCTGATATATTTGGAAATAGTCCAGATCAAATACATCTTGGCGATATTTGTCTATAAAATAATGTGATTTTGAAGATATTGCAGTGCGTTTGAACACGCTTTACCCTTGTTAGCAGAGGCAATAATTTGCAATCAGAACTCAAAGGATGTAACATGATAAAAAGATTAAACGAGAAGGAAATAGGAGTGCCATGCAACAACATACTTCCTATGCATAGGACTAATCACTTCCTCTTTTCAAAGAGAAATATTTTCCTGAAATGAATGAAAAAATGAATGGAACCGTTAATGTTAAAACATGAGGTAGATTTGTTCTTAGGGATACTTCATTCTCAGGCTTGTTTCGTTTTCTTTTTCTTGCTGCCGAATTCTTGACTGCATCAGTTTTCTACTTTCCTCCAGGGCCTGATAGAAACTCTGTAATTCAGCCAACCTCAACGACAACGTCCTGATAGTTGTGTTCTGAAAATGGGATTTGATTACCCTTAAGAAAATCTGCTGCTCGAAAACAAGAGATGGCTAAGAAAGACTTGGTTGCATTTACTTAAAAAAGATTGGGACGACCAAGATCATCACCAATTATGGCGTTCAAAGAATACAGTTCAAGGAATTCAGTGTCACAGACGGGTCTGGAGCGAGAACAAGTGTTAATGAGTGCTGAGTCAAAATCTCAAAACATTAATGTGATCAATGCTGCTTCTGAAAGCGATCTCAAAACAGAGCCAGAAATGTTCCTCAAGAATGTTCTTCTATCTTTCGAATAAAAGGTCTCTAGGAAATGGAATTTGTGTTAAATTACTGGTGGTATAGTTACGCTTTGTCAGGAAATTAAGAAAGGTCCAAGCACAACGGTAAAATCATCCAACTCTATATACCCTTTTCTAGTTATGTATCGGCCTTCCTTTAGACTCAATGCCGTCCTGAATGTGCCTCAAAATGTCGAAAAAATGATCGGATGCAAACTTCTCTGTTTCGAAATAGGGCCTAAAGGGGGCCAGCAGTTTCTACCATCATACAGACTGGTATACTTCTAGAAATAGCAGGTAACATAGAGAACGTGAGGTCCACAAGCACTGGAGCTATACAAGCCTAAAGACGTCTGAAACACGTTCCAATAAAACTACAACGCATCAAAAGAAATAGCACGTATTTTACCATAAGATACAACAAGCAGAAGAGACAGAAGTAATCTTTGAGGGACCACTCCGATTCAAATACATCTTTACCAACCAAACTCGTGCAGCAGAGCGACAAAATTTAACAAAGAACGTAGGTGAATGCTCTACGTGAAAATAATTATCTTGAAATTTATTGAATTTTTTACTGAATGTAGAATTTTACTTTCTGCTGAATGACACTTTAAAGCTTTTAATCAAAAGTCTGATATTTTGTCACGTTGTGTCCTAGATGAAACACCAGTGTTTGAAAACCAGAAAAATAAGACTAGTAACTGGGGCAAGAAATCCTGTAGTTATATCAAGTAAAATTTGCTGGCAATGACAGTGAATCAGCTGGCATTTGCAGGCAACAGTGAAACAAGCTGCAAAACATGCCGTAGATTTTTGTTTTTTTGTGGATGATTTCGGAAAACACGGTACTAGATGTACCTAAAACCCCATATATTCTTTAAGGGGGGCGAGAACTTTGAAAAATTTTGAGACCGCCACATCTTTGCATCCTTTAAATTTCAGCTACTTTAAAAAAATTTCTTTATTTCAGGCAAAATTGAACCCAGTCCTACCCAGTACATGTTTATTAATAAATGATTTTCATGTTTTAACAAATCCTTTCCAAATATCCCCAATCTCTTTGGAACCACCATTCAATAGATGCATTTAGCAGACTACTATCAACAGGAAGCAATTATTGCAAAGCAAACATGTAACTGATAGCAATTAGTAAGATTAATCTACAACCCCCCCTCTAAAATGCTATTCAACTAAATACCTAAGGGCAAACTTAGGGCCTTAGCTAGCCTGTGCCCAAGTCCACAAATGCTACGACATTACTGGACTGGGATGCAGGCTAGGCTTTAGCATGAAGGAAAAAAATTCGGTTTCTGCAGCTGTCACATTTCATAGATCATAGAACATATGATTAATTTTCTCATTCAAATTATGGGGATATGGATACCCTAGTCAAGCGGTAGGATGACCAAGCTGCGAATAGCGTCTTTAAAGTGAATTGGGAGTCCTAAATTAGGATCACGCCTAATGCCAAATCACATGATCAATAAGTACTGAAAAGTAACAGCAAAGTATTTCAGCAGAAAAACCAACATGATGTCAGCTCAGAACAACCGTGTAAAAACAGTGGATGGGATATGGAAATATCCTGTAACAACGTCATTGAAGAAGCAACCTAAGTTGTTGCTTGTCCCAAAAACTTCTTTTTCTCCTGCCAAGTCGAATGTGGAACTAAGAACACATATTTATCGTAAATATCCATTATATAACGATTTTTAATTTAAAAAACAACAAGAAACATACCAAATGACTTTCTTTGAGGGAAAACCTATTCGTCCAAATGATGCTTTCGATCTTCTGTGATAAAATTGATAGTTGCTTGGCCATCAACGGAAAACATTCGACAAATTCTCTGTCAAAATAAAAGTAAGTAACGCTCAGTCTAAAAATGGATTAGCAAATTGAACTGAGATACCAACAATTTGCAACAGTCAGGCTACAATGCGGCTTTTAGTAGACAGGTACTTGAAGGGGAAAAAGAAAAAAAACGTACGCATATAGATCTAGGTACACCTGACTGAAGGAGCAAGCTCAGGGATCGTTCAAGACAGAACGTACTCCCTGGCAGAAACTATCATTATTTGCGTCAAAGAAAAACAATACGGAGCCAGAATAATTCTCTAAAAGGCACGAAATCGCACTCTATTGGGGAAAACAAGCATGACAGTCTTTTGAAATTTATAACACGCAAAGGGTCCAGATAACAAATATCTTTTAGAAACTGAATGAAATTATCCCTTGAAGTGGTACAGTATTGGCATTAGGTTTTCAAATACGATGCGTTGCACTTTAAGATAGTCAAGAAGCAGCCAATGTAGTTTGTATGCAATGCCTGATAGTATTTTGTCGAATACGTTGGTTAATTAAAAGAATTCTCGAATAAAAATAATGGTTATTTGAACTTCTTCTTCCTTTGCGGAACATTTTTGTGTCTCTGTTTTGTATTCGTGCCATAATGTAAAAGACTTCAAACACAAAGTCAATTTTCTGTTAAGATTAAATGTTTATCTTGTACAGTTCGTTAACTAGAGGAATTAATATCAATCAATTATATTAAAGTTGACGATAGTCTTTTAATGCTCAATACACACTTTCTTCTAACTAGATTTGAACCATCCCATCAACGCCTCTGCTTTTTTACAAAAAACTTAGTGTTTGTTTTATCATCGTTAAGAAAACAGTATTTCGTTTCCTTTTGTCGTCGCTGTTAATTAGCATAGTGTACTGTTTAATCCACACGAGATTCTTCCTATTGCAAACGAATAAATTCAAAAAAAGTTTGAAATAACCATCATCAACTTAAGGATATTCCGTTACATGATAATCATTACCGTCTTATGCTCTTCGTGGTACTGGCTTTAACTTTTCAGTTGATTTTCCGTATGATCTTTAGCGAGAATTTTCAGAGCAGCGCACATTTAGAAACAAACTGCTCTTTTACGGACACAAAAGCGACATGAAGCGAACACAGTGACGCTACAAGGAAATTTTCATTCGTAAAATTTGGCATTCAGAATAAATTGCGCATGACTTAAAACAAATAAGAAAAGATGAACCGCTCGTGCCCAGAAGAACCATACTTTTGCCCGTCAATATGGCCATTAGACATGCCGTGGCCCCATTTGATCACTTGGTCCTTTTTTATCGCCCTTTTGTCACCAATCACCATCATCTCGAACGCAGCACTAATTTATGGACTTTACAAATTGGAGCAGCTAGACACGATCACAAACAAATTCATTCTCGTGATGAATATATCAGATCTTGGAACGGGAATATTTATCCTGCCATCCATAGCTGTAATGGCAGCTTTAAAAAACAAGTTCCGCAACTGTGTTTTTGAAAAGGTTATTCAATGTACCGCCTTTCTTCTGGCATATTTCTCGTTTTTCATGTTGATGTGCGTATCTTTGGATCGTTATCTTCACGTGACGAAACTCAAAAAGTACAATAAGTTCATGAACGAATTTCGCATGAAGGTGATCGTTGTGTTTAGCTTCGTAACATCGGCAATAATCGCCTACATATCGATCGCGTTCCCTTCTTTCCCGCTGCAAGTCGCGTTGAATTTATCCGATCTTTTTGGTGTTCTGTTTATGTTCATCTTGTATTCGGTGGTGTTTCACAAAATTTTAATTAATGCTGAGAGAGTTAAAAACATGCTAAGAGATGCGGGAGAAGATTCGGGTAACCGAGAAACAAGACGAGAAATCTCGGCAACGAAAAAGATTCGTTATGTCCTGGGCGCCTTGTTGGTTCTGTATCTACCGTACAACATTTTCTCCGCAATCTGGACGTATTACAAATTCCAGGAGAAGAAGAATCCCCCTTTAACCACAAACACACTAGAATATTGGTCTTATATAATTGTGTTTTTTAATGCTTCAGTAAATGCTATCCTATTCGCTTATGGCAACAGCGTTGTGAGAAGATTTTTAATTGGATGCATTTTCAGAAATCAAATTGCTCCAATGAGCGCAGTAAGCGACGTCACAAAGACCTCTAAAATTGCGAGCAAGGTCTAGTTGAAGCCATTCAAGGAGAGGTTGACGTCATCTGCTCTAAGATAGTCTCTTGTCCATGCAATGTAATTATTTTTTGGTGAGAGCAATAATCAATCGGTGCACATATGAACTTTTCACAAAAGCAGTGTGAAGGCTCCTACGCTGCATAAGGCATAGAGAGGTTTTACTGGCTGATCAATGGTAGCTATAAAAAATGGTTCAATTTTTCAGTCGTTGACAGGATTTTCTCCTTACACGGTGATGGAAAAATAATAGCAACAACGAAGAAAAGGAAACGGACAACAGATTCTAAATTTTTGTCGATTGCTGATCCTTGCCTTTTAATTTTTTCGAGTGTTGATAACGTCAAGAAACTTTATTTCACTCCACTCAGCTTCAGCACAGAATACATCACAAATTCATATAGACTGGAAGAAACAAAGGTTGATATTTTGCAATTTTTTGCATTAGTTTGGCAGTGTCATAGTGTTGTGCTAAGAATGATCGTCTATGATATGTATCTGTAAAACTTAATGTTATGTTCTGTTATATTGCTGTTTAAACGCTGCAAATAAACATAATTAAGCGTAGTTATGTTATGTTGTATAACAAGATTGTAAAATTAGATTAAGGGCCATCTTGGACTGAATATATCTCAAAAAGATGTTAGTGGTAAAAAGTTCAAGTGCTGCAAGGAGAGACATATAAGACTACGGTGTCCTAACATTTCCTAAACAGCCGCTGTTCGTAGTGCTTATTCATGAATGGAGTAAATCTTTGTGCTAACTCGTCGATCATGAAACATCTATATTAACGGACAGTAGCTAAACTTTAACATTTCAATAGCTCCCATGACATTCATGGTTTTTTCTTCGGGAATATAAATTGAGACCCTTGCAAGAGCACGTCGCTTATATTACGCTTCCGTTTACACCATATTTACATGTTGTTAAAAATTTACTTATTGGTCAGTTACAGCTCCCGACAATTTTTTTCGATCTTTATTGAGATTTCAGTATCCTTCTTGCCAAATACAAGAGATGGCATTTCTCCGCGTTCAATTCTATGCAGGTTTGTGCAAACCTATTTCTTTGTTCAACAGTATCATTTTCTAGCTTTAAAATAGATTCTCTCAAACTTTTTTTAGAATTCTCATTTTTATATCGTCTACATATTTACAAATTTCAGTCTCATACATCAAAAGGAAAATATCATTGGTAAATTAATAAAAAGAAGAGGCCCTATGACTGACCCTTGGGTGACACCTGATTTCACTTCTTTCCGCGAGCTTAATGAGCAATTGATTTTAACCCGTTGCTTTCTACACGCTAGATAACTGTAAACCATATTTAAAAAACATTTTGGTAGCTCACGAATTTTGGCTAGTATTGCCATTCCTTGACAGCCAAAAGGGGCGGGCAAAAGGGGGGGGTACCTATCTTGCTCTTGCAACAAAAGGGATATTTGGGGGCAATGTTCTTCCATGCTCCAAATACGATAGTATATGTTTAGAGACATCAGAAAAGTTTAATAACAGCTGGAATTTTCTAAAGTGATGTTGATGTTTCAAAGGGATGTAGATTTTCAAAAGTATTTGTGAAGTTTAAAGAGCAGGTTCTGATACATCTATCACAAAGAAAGCTACCAGATAAAATTGCTAGGCAGGATTGGCAGAATAACTCTGACAGAGCAAACTAGCCATACAGTTTATTGACATTTGCCCTGGAAAAGAATTCAGATAACTAGGGACCATCCAGGTAACTAGGGACAATTGAATCTTTATTCATGTCCATTGCGAAACTTAGCCTCTTAATCGTTTTCGCATACGAACAAAAATTGTATCCTTCCAATGATCTTCCATCTACACCAGCAGAAAACCTTCCAAGTTACTTTAGCAGTTACTTAACACGAGTACCTTTAATTGTATGTAGAAAATTGTAGACCTGTATATATGTATGAAAACCTAAGATTACCGATTGTAGCCTAAGTAATACTCGTTTTAAATTTAAAGATTACATAAATGTTGATAATTCTTTTACGCTTTCTTCAAAAAATGATCAATTTTCAATTTTTCAGCTTGAAGATTTTATTTTCCCGGATGTTTTCTGAATTATTTTCCCGGCTGTTTTCCCATGATATTGACAGGTAATGTTAACATTGATCAGCTTTTGGAGGCACAACTGGTGATTACATACATTTCATGCTAGTCTGACTAACTCTTAATAAAAACACCATCACGTCACTCTCATGGCACAAAGTCCTATGTTATCTAACAGGCACAAATTCCTATGTTATCCGTATTTAACTGCTATTTTTCTCCCGTCTTCTTTTCGAAACAGTTGTATCATTTTCCTTTGCTGAAAGATCTATTTTTGGTGGAAATATATGCACTGTGGTGAAAATTTAGTTTTGTAGAAATTTCAGATGTGCAAAGATGCCCTCCATACGGATGCGGTAATTATAAAGCAAAGAATATATTTTATGCGACCCCACACCAACGACCCACACACTCCCTATAACACTCGCTACCTCAACCACCCCGAACACACAGCAACAAAACAATACACTGACACCCACATACAACGTCCCTTCAACAACAGACCACTTCCATACATACTATAACACAACCAGTTCAACCCTCACTTCTACGCCATCTTATTCTGTCTGATTAGTCCTAGCAACCACAAACACCAAAACACACCCACACGCCCAACAACAACCACACAAAACCCCCATTAATGTACAGTGGATACAGAACTCATCGTCAAATCGGTAACACCACCATATTCTAAAAATACATAAAGAACATACTAGACTACATAGCCCGATACAATTAATACCAAAAAAACAACCACGTAACAAGTGCACCTATCGAACCTATGCATCCGCAACCACAAATCACAAGCAAGAAGCATCTGCCCACCCACAGAACACTTACCAGAACAAACCCGCTGTATGCAACAGACCCAAACGACTAACTTTTAAATGCGCACATTTGACACAAACTTCAATACACTAATTAGACACCCACAACAACACCTAAAACAACCACTAAACATATTCATCGATACCATGCACCAACATCCTCAACAGAGAACGCTTCACACTCCAAAAACATACAACCAACCCAACTAGCAACCAGAAAACTCTACGACATCAGAAAACAAAACAAACCCAAAATCCACATATATCACATAAACCTCATCAGCATCAGCATCCGGACCTCAGCAAAACATAGGCCATAGAAACCATGCACATCGACGTGTAGGAAAGATTTCCTCCCTACAAGCTGATCAGCCACTTTTCGAGCTCTTCTTCTTATGCGATGCTCGTGCAAACTGATTTACAGCTGCTACCATGACACGCCATCCACCTAACGCTCATACAAATAATGCTGACTGTTGTTTTAGTTAGCGTAATGTTAGGGCACAAGGTCACAGAGAGCACCACCACCACATACAAAACAACTAAACAAACACAGCAAATAGATGATAGGACGGAACCATAAAGGAATGTTGATTTTATATTTTGAGCAAAAGACGGTTGTACAAAGTCTTGGAAGAGCAGCGAAGAAGGGATTGAGCGTTCCAAAGTTACCACTACAACAGACATCCAACCGCCGCCGCACACCGACAACACACCCCAACACCCAACAACAGTTAGTCGGAACAGAATACAATGAAGTTGCAAACACCAAATACCAGAGACTCACCAAACCGCAAACCCACACCGACAAAACAACAGGCGCAACACAACTAGACACACCAAATCTGAATAAACATTAGCACACCACTCAACCATTTCTCAGACGACCAACAAGCAACGTCCGCACCACCAGAAACACACGTGGAAGCCGTAAAAATCTATCCACACAAGACACACCTAGCCACGAGATAACAGCACACCAGCTATCCTACAGACAAGCAACAGAGGCTGAGAGGACTAGTTTGGACAACAAACATCAGAAGCAGAAAAGCATAAGACTAGAATCTCGAAGCGGAACTGGACAGCCTACAAACCTCATACCATATACCATATGCGTTTCCCTCATCAACAATGTATGTAGCTTTATCTCTCTCTCATGTGTT